TCAGTCTGTGTGCATTGAATTTATTTAATACACGAGTTTCACAATTTGAGTTGAATTACTGAAATAAATGAACTTTTCCACGACATTCTAATTTATTGAGATGCACCTGTACTCTGGCCACGGTGTGGGGATTGTCATGTCCCACCGAGGTATGATCATCACGCTCCCAAAAAAGGCGATCTGTCTAAGTGTGATAACTGGCGGGGCATTACCCCTATCAGTACCTGGAAAGCTATGTTCTATTGTCCTTCTAAACCGCCTCCGACAAGTTGTCGATGCCCGCCTTAGAGATCAACAAGCAGGCTTCCGAAGTGGCCGATCCTGCTTTGAACAGATTTTTGTTCTGCGGCAAGTGATTGAACAATCGCTGGAATACCAACACCGGATCTCACTGACCGATCTCACTGAACTTTATCGACTTTGTCAAGGCCTTTGACTCCGTGCACCGAGAAACGCTATGGAAGATAGCCCAGGCTTACGAAACTCGATCTTGATTTGTAGACATCTTTCGCAACCTTTACCAAGGCTCTCGATGCTGTGTACGGATGGAAGAAGGAATTACTGATTTCTTCGCGATTGAAACTGGCGTACCACAAGGCTGTGTGCTTTCACCAATGTTATTCCTTCTTGTCATCGACTTCGTCGCCCGCCACGCCATCGACCCACCTACACATCGGCATACCCTGGACAGTTGGTAACTTCTACCTTGCCGATCTCAACTTTGCTGATGATATTGTCATTCTCGGCCCGACACAAACTGCCCTATAAGACCTCACTATGGCCCTAGAAAATCAAGCGGCCAGCACAGGACTGTGTGGACAGAAGATCAAAGTCATTCGCATCGGCTATGTAAACTCGAGAGTACCGATTACAATTGACGGAAAAAAAGTGGAGGAAGTTGCAAACTTCACTTATCTTGGCAGTGTCGTCTCCTCAAATGGGGATGCAGAACGAGATGTCATCTGCTGCATCAGCAAAGCACCTGCTGTGTTCCAGCGACTCCTGGCTACGATCGTTGTGCCGACGGTGACCTACGCGTGCGAGACCTGGAAGATGACTGAAAATCATCGCTCGAAAGTTGGATGCTTATCACCTTCGTTGTTTGCGACGCGTCCTCAAGATCATTCACCGGGACCATGTTACAAACATGGAAGTATACCGTTGCGCTAATACAAAGCCCCTCTCTGCGACAGTTACCGAACGTCGTTTTCGTTTCGCCGGACACATCTTACGTCTTCCTGATCATCGGATATTCAAGATGACAATATGTTGGTGGCCTGTACAAGGCAAACGAAAACAAGGACGCCCAAAAATTACCTGGCGAAGAACTTTTATGGAAGACCTCCGATGGGACGAGGCTGAAGTCACGGCCGCGGATCGAAGCCGTTGGAGAACGCTTGTCGCCCTATGCACCGAACGGCACCGGTGGAATTAAGGTTAAGGTCATATAAAATGCTCATCAGGATTTTGTCATCATTTTTAGTTTCCTGTGAAGAAATTGTAGCATGTGACGCGTGACCTTTGTCATCAACGGCAAACGAAACACGCAGTGTTATTCTAACTATGTGTGATTTTTTATATGATGTTTATTTGGTGAATGGATATGATGGATGTGTGTCCCTCTGCCGGCGCGAGTCTGTACCTCTCATGAGCGTCAGAGCCGTGCCTTTATAGATGCTGCGGATGCCGTTCTCTCGGTACAGCTGCTTGGCGCAGTCCATTGGCCCCGCATACTTCACCTGCCCCGACGCCGCCTGGATCTGAACACACACACTCATGTTACACTCACACACTCACGTTACACTCACACTCACACACACACTCACGTTACACTCACACACACACTCACGTTACACTCACACACACATTCACGTTACACTCAAACTCACACACTCACAAACACACTCACGTTACACTCACACACACACACTCACGTTACACTCACACTCACGTTACACTCACACTCACACACACACTCACGTTACACTCACACACACACACACTCACGTTACACACACACACACACTCACGTTACACTCACACACACAC